GGAAGGGTATATCTAGATGCAAATAAGCAGGTATAAAAAATATTGTACCCATCTCTCATTCAGCAGTTTTGGTGTATGGAACTTACTTCAAGGATTAGGGCCCATACTTGTGCTGTAGGTGGCTATCATTTGCAATCATCAACGTAGTGTTTCAAAGACGCACGATGTGCAAATTTCACGCCTGAACAACAAGATAGAAGAGTTAAAGGTTAGTCTTCCCAGTTAAAATATGAAACTGTAATGGTTTAGTTTATGGTCTGACGTCCTAAACACGTATCATTGTTGTTTCCATTATGTATTCACATGTATGGACCATTCTTCATTGTTGCCTGCTCACATGTTTTATATTTTTATATATTGGTTCTCATTTACTCAGGGTATTTTGGATGAACTGAAAACGGATTTGACCCGTGCAAAGAAAGGGAAGCCTCCATCAAAAACTGAAGACGGAAAGACAAAGAGAAATCTGGCACCCGAAGCGTAAGGCATTTTCTAAACTACGAATTATTATTATTGTGATTATGACTATTATTAGGGAGATTTCCCAAAACAGGGCTAAATAGGGTTTAGAGTTCCAAAATAGGATTGCTATGTTTTTCTTCTTGAAATAGGAGTAAGATGACAGTAACCACTGTCATCTTTTAGTCATGACTGCCAAATAGTTGCCGTACTCCCATTCACATGGCAATATTTATTATAATTAATGGCTGTATTTTTTCAATTTTAGCAATATTTTTTAACCATGACAGTAATGACTCCTATTTCGGGAATAAAAACATAGTAGTCCTATTTTGGAATTCCCAAAGTTGTTTACTCCTATTTAGGACAATTTCCCTTATTATTATAATTACTATTATTATTTTTACTATTACTACTACTATGGTTTTAATGCACCAATCTCCCCTGTGATATACAAATTTTGCACATTAGCTTGTGATTTGAAAAATGCATTAAACGTCCTGTTTTAATTCATCATGCACATAATTTCCTCGAAGAACAAATTTAATAGTCAAATAAAAGAAAAATGATTAGTATTTTTGTTTAATTTAGATATCATGACAAATATACTTACATGTTCAATCATCATAACATTAAGACACGTGATTTTCAAATTACCATTATTTTTTCTTCAAGTGTGACGTGTCATGTGCATAATTAATTATAGTGCGGGGTTTGATGCATATTTAAACCACAAGGGGTCAATGCACAAAATCTGCATATCACTAAGGAGTTTGGCGCATTAAATCCCAACTACTACTAACAATCACACGTCTTGTAAAATCTCTACCCCTTAACAACAAGCTTTTTCCAATGGATCAATGTAGATTGCAGAAAAAGATAGATCAAACTATTGTGAAGATCGATAGAATGGAAAAACAAATAGAGACAAAAGAAGATATGAAAACAGTTGCACTCGGCACGTCCAAGACCAACTACCTAGACCCAAGGATCACTGTTGCATGGTGCAAACGGAATGAGGTTCCCATTGAAAAGGTCTTCCCCCTGCATATGATATTATTATCACACTTCGAGAAAGAGTTTTTTGTTTTTGTTTTGTTCTTTACTAGTAAAGCAAAAGTTGGTGACTGGGCACTTTTCTTTCTTTTTGTGTCTTGAATGTTTCCAGGTATTTAACAAGTCTCTTCTGGCAAAGTTTGCTTGGGCCATGGATGTTGATCCCGACTTCTCTTTCTAAAGGAAAAAATGGTTAACTGTATGCTGATATATTATTAACTATTCACATAACCTCCATGACACTGATATATTGTATTAAAGAGGCTGTTAATAATGTTGTCCAAAATAATGTTGTCGTGAATGAGAAATTGAGTTTGAAGTATTGCGTTGATAATTCATAATGTATTAATGTTGTGCTTGTTGTTGTAGTCACTGGGACTGCTGTTAATATTAATTTTATGTTATTTGGTAGTGCTAGTGCTAATGGTAATGTTAGTTATTGTATTACATTCATATTATTTACATTCTCATATTTTTCACATTTATGTTATTAGATTTGTCACGTGAGTGTAGAGGCATTACGTTAATATATTCAAATTATCACCCTAGTATATGTACTATTCATAGACTAGTATTTGTATCATCCACTGATCCACATTCTCATTTCATAAACACATTTATCTTGTAAAAGATTAAAAGTTACCATAATAAAAATGAAAGTAAAACATTCATCTTACTGGAGGGCAGAGACATGGTCTTAAACTATGTAGCACCGGTACGCGGAAACGGGTACGGGGATACCTCAAAACAAAAAAAAAGTAGGATACGGATACGGGGCCATATTTATAAATATTAAAAGTTATGGGGGTGTATTTACAAATATTAAAAGTTATAGGGGTCTATTTATAAATATTAAAAATAGTTTTTTTTGAAAATATATATATATATATATATATATATATATATATATATATATACACAACTATTCAGGTCCGGCCAGGCCGGACCACTCCCCCCGTCCGGCCTCCTCCATTTGGGGGTCTTCCCGGTGGTATTTTTTGTTCAAATTTTTTGTGTAGGTTCCTCATCAAGTCTAGTTCATCCATACCAAATTTCAGCCCAAAATTCAATCGGGAAGGTCGTCAAATGATTTTTGCAAGTTAACTGGCCCGGAATATGTATTTTCCGGACCAGTTAACTTGCGAAAATCATTTGACGACCTTCCCGATTGAATTTTTGGCTGAAATTTGGTATGGATGAACTAGACTTGATGAGGAAACTACACAAAAAATTTGAGCAAAAAATACCATCGGGAAGGCCCCCAAATGGAGGAGGCCGGACGGGACTCCGGTCAGGTATACCTGACCGGAAGACTACTCTATATATATATATACACACATATAATATCCTATGATGTCTACCTATTCATTGCATTGAAGCATTTTCCTTTTTCAAGATACTTAATAATAAATTCATAATATTTCTCATATACACTAATGCATCTCGAAATATAAATGTAGTCAATAAGTCATTAATTTAAAATGAGAAATAAGTCAAACAACTACAATCTTGAAATTAAAAGTGCAAGTATCCAATTCGGAGTATTAGTTAATGACTTAATTTGGATATAGCCATATAGGTCCATTATTTGATTACCAAGTAAAATGTAGTTTTAGATTTTCATTTTTTTAGAATTTTATTAAGTACATTTTGGGATTTTTTTTAAAGTTATACGAGTATCCGTCAGGATACGAGTATCGGAAACTTTCAAAAAATTACAAAAAAAAAATGGAAACTTTTAAAAATTGCAGATACGGCCCGGGAACGTACGGTACGGGTATCCTAGAGTATCGGATACGGGAACGTATCGGATACGCCGATACGCTACCCTAGGGCGTATCCGATACGTTCCCGTATCCAATACTCTAGGATACCCGTACCGTACGTTCCCGGGCCGTATCTGCAATTTTTAAAAGTTTCCATTTTTTTTGTAATTTTTTGAAAGTTTCCGATACTCGTATCCTGACGGATACCCGTATCAATTTTTTTAAAAAAAAAAATCCCAAAATTTACTTAATAAAATTCTAAAAAAAATGAAAATCTAAAACTACATTTTACTTGGTAATCAAATAATGGGCCTATATGGCTACATCCGAATTAAGTCATTAACTCATACTCCGAATTGGGTACTTGCACTTTTAATTTCAAGATTGCTGTTGTTTGACTTATTTCTCATTTTAAATTAATGACTTATTGACTACATTTATATTTCGAGATACACTAGTGTATATGAGAAATATTATGAATTTATTACTAAGTATCTTGAAAAAGGAAAATGTTTCAATGCAATGAATGAGTAGACATCATAGGATATTATATGTATGTATATATATATTCAAAAAAATCTATTTTTAATATTTATAAATAGATCCCTATAACTTGCACTATGTAGCACCGATACCGGTACGCGGTATGTACCATTAAGGTAACTTCTAGTAATCTTAAATAGACCCCTAATACTCATTAGGCTATGTACCATTAAGGTAACTTAATGTCTACTCATAGGGGTACGCGGTACCCCTATACTCATTAGGGGTCTATTTATAAATATTAAAAATAGATTTTTTTAAATAATATTGCATCTACCAAATAGGTGCATAGCTATTTAAATAATATTGCATCTACCAAATCACTAAAGTGCATTTTAAAGCTTCTAGTAAGCTTAATTAAGGTAACTTCTAGTAATCTTAATTACGGTAACTTCTGAAGAGGATCCATTATGGTAGATATATTTTAGCCTAATGAGTATAGGGGTACCGCGTACCCCTATGAGTAGACATTAAGGTAACCATTAAGGCTAATACTCATTCAGTAATCTTAAATAGACCCCTAATACTCATTAGGCTATGGTACGCGGTATGTACCATTAAGGTAACTTCTAGTAATCTTAATCTATGAGTAGACATCATAGGATATTATATGTATGTATATATATATATATATTAAAAAAAAATCTATTTTTTTGCGTGTATTATGCACTTTTATTTGAAACATTGTGCATCTATTTTAAGCACTTTTACAATTTACACCTGATGCACAATAGCATCATGCCAGATGCACATTTAGATAATTTACACTACAATTAATCAGTCATTTACTTTTATGATACAATTGTTGCACATTCTGCACTAAAATTTTACGATCTTGATTTTTAAGGTACATCTTGCACCTTGTACATATGATGCACTATAGTGCATTAATGTATTATTTAAAAGAGGTTTAACGTGTAAAATGATAATTAATCTGAATTGTTCAAATTTTCATGCACAATAGTCCTTATCTAATGCACTGTGCATGAGATAAGGACTATTGTGCATCAGATTAAAAATTTGGGCGGTTCAGATTAATTTTCAATTTACACGTCAAGAGTCCTTTTTTAGATTTCAAATTTTTTTTACTCCTATTTAAGGAATTCTCTCTAATACATAATAATAATAATGATTGTACATGAAACTAAAGACACACATTAATATAAATTAAAAATGCAGCAACCCTGAAAGGTATAAATTATGTAATATAATGGATTATAAAAATTGTAGCAAGTAAAATTAGAAAGAAAGAAATTAAACAAGGAACAATAATGGAAATAGATAACCCCTAGCTAATGGATAGGGATAAACAATACGGTTGCAATGGAGTTGGGGAGAAAATATGAAGAGAGAGAATCTCCCCTACCAATTTCTAAAGACAATGGATTTCCGGCATTTCAGCCGCCGGAATCAACAATTTTTTCTCAATGGTAATCGATACAACACACAAGGGCTTCATCCCCAATTCAGACACTCAACAGGGAGATGTACAATATATGAAGAGGAATCGCCTAGAATAGATTTGGGGTTTTGCAACTATCCCAACACACCCTCTTGGTGCAACAAATGCTACCCATATCCCAGGTGCTGCTGGTTTGAAGAATATCATCCCAGGCACAACCAACTAAGACAACACAAGTCCCATTATACAGCCCCCAGGTATTGCAGAAACTCAAAAACGACCAAGGAAGACAACGTATTCGAGGCAAGGAGGCATCTGGTACGGCGACGGGATGTACAGACCGATCACCACTCCTTCCGCAACACACGGGAGAATACAGATGGTTGGCGCATCGTCAAATACACCGAACGGCGTCACTACGCTCGCCCAGACCAATGTTCCACTGCTCATCAACGCCCCAAGGCCCCCAACCCAGAAATTCTACGGGCTTCTGGTAATTTCAATCGACACCAAAGGTTAGAGCTAGAAGATAAATATAATTCTTTATCACCACTAACAAATGAACCGGACCTCTTGGCCATAAACGATTTAGTGGGAATATCCGACTTCCCAACCGTCGACGACTCACAGGCAGTTGACAGAGGACACAACTGGGGAACACCGGCAGCCTCATCGTCGGCAAGGCGAACGGCCATAGCGTCAAAACACACGGCAGATTCACTGGGCGCGGACCCTCTATGGGGGTCTTCAGCTACTAGTGCTTTCCAGAGTAGTGGCAACGGCGTGATGAAGCCGAGAAGACAAGAGGACTCAAAACCGGCTTCTCCATCCCATTCGGTCCCGGAAATCGCTGTCTCGGCTGTAGTGGGGTCACCGACGATTCGACCAGGACATGGTAACAGCTGTGGAAATATACCCAAGGAGCTCAGTTTCACGTGGGCTGATGTTTTAAAATCCAACAAAAAAATAAAACCCTCTGTCACTCCTGGTACCAACTCGGCAGAGTCCTCCTCAGCCACAAATTCAAATCCGCTCAACAATGACATGCCAGCTACTTGCTCCGTCACGAAATTTAACAGAACAGAAGATATTCGGGTTGAGTCAGCTTTGGGCGAACCGGGCTGTGAAAATTTCATGTTCTTTGGACAAGAAGGATTTGACTCAATCAAAATTGAGTCAAAAGTTTTTAAATTTGCGGTCAAAAATGGTGAAGTGGTTATTTTTGAAGTAAAAAAATCTCAGCTACACAAGATTCAATTCAAAATTGACCTTGTTCCTCGAATCATTCGCTTTATGTCTCAACTCACAAGTTCTGCATCAAAATTGGCACGGAGTAAACGATTTGGAGATATTACAGTTTCTTTGGAAACTAACAGATCAGGCGACTATGTGAAATTAGCTAAAAATCATGGGAGCTCCGCTCAAATTCCGGTGGGACCGAAAAAATCGAGCTTGTTTAAATTCATCAATATTTTTTCTAATTTTGCAGGGCCACCAGAGTCTGTGCAGGACGACTCAATCTCTTTGCAATACAGGAGCACCTATGAAACCGAGGACAACACATCGATCTCTAAACTGATTCTAAATTATCAAATCCAAGCGGCTAGTATCGAGAATCAATTGGTTTTCACTCCCATGAAACAACTACCACGGATCGAGGCTTACTCAGATGCCTCAGATGGTTTTGACCATTCTGATGACTCTTTCTTTAGAGATGACTTTCTTGGACACGCAACTGAAAGCGATCGTCGTCCTCCGATCTCCTACCCGGAAGAAATTAGAAATTCCAAACTCAACAGGGCTATTTGCCGCAAAGCAAAATTCGTCACATCGAAAAATTGTCTGCCAACAGACAACTTAAACACACAACTCAAAATTTACAGAAAAACGCAAAAGAACAAAAGGCGTCACAGCATGACGACTAGATCACAATCCAGAGATTTTCCTTGGGACTAGTTTTATGTTTTCCTTTATTTTACTTTTTCTCTGTACTGCTTTTCTTTTTATTCTCGCATTGTACTGTTTTTCTCTTATCAATAAAATGCATTTTTTCTTTAAAAAAAAAAAAAAAAAAAAAAAAACAATACGGTTGCAATGGAGTAAAATAAGGAAACATAGTAAAATGTCATATTAGCCCAAAGAGAGTATACGTGATCCTCCCTAAAACAAGATTAATTCAATGGCTAAGATCTATTCTTTATCCTCCCCTAATATTAAGTTCTCACATGAACCTATATATATATATATATATATATATATATATATATATTAAAGTATTAAATATAATTGTACTACTCATATTATAGTAGTATACTTATATATTGTATACTATACACAAAATATTATATAGTAGTTACACTTTAATTAATATTAGTTAAACTCACTTAATTGTAATTTATTAGCTATACTTAATTTTATTACTTAATATTATTACTTAACACCAACAGTCCTATTAATTAGTAATTTAGTATACACATTAATACAATAGTTCAGTTGTTAATTCACTTAATTGTTACATTTGCCATTATAGTAGTTAATTACTTAATTCACTTAATTGTTACATTTGCCATTATAGTAGTTCATTACTTAATTCACTTAATTGTTACATTTTCCATTATAGTAGTTCATTACTTAATTGTTCAATTTTTTTAAAAAAATAAATAGTTCGAATTTTAAGTTATTTAAAAAAACAGTAGTTCGATTTTTATTATTATTTAAAAGTAGTTCGAATTTTATATCATTAAACTACACTTGTTAGATTGAAGTATTAATTAAAATAGTTGGAATTTTAGTTAATTAAAATACAATTGTTAGATTGAGGTATTTATTAAAGTACTTGGAATTTTAGTTAATTAAAGTATTATAATAAAATAGTTCGGATTTTAGTTATTTAAACTATTACACTTGTTATTTGTTAATATACATATATTAAATATATTATAATATTAGTTACATTCTCATATCAAACTTATACTATTTGTTATTGGTTGCATTACTTTTGTACTCATATTAACATATTATTTGTTGCAATTTAATATTTTGTTACATTTTTAAGATGCAACGTGGTAGACTTTCGGTTGATATGGGTAACCTCAGTCAAAACCGAAGGAAGGAGATTGGGAAGAATGATCCTCATTCGCGCAAAGGTAAAGGACATATTGGCTCTTCTTCTCAAAGCCGAGATGATTTTGAAACGAATTACCAACGGAGAGATGGGGATGCGATGTCCGACGAGCAACGACAACTGTTGGAGCAACAGAATGGCCGCTTTTTCCAACAACAAGACTTCCCGACCATTGACGAGGAAGAGCTCGAGGATGAGGATGCGGAGGAGGAGGCCGAGGGTGACGACACCCCGGACGATGACACCCACAACGACGAGCTTGCTTCATCCCAACATGTCGGTAAGAAGAAAAGTAAACCTGCCCTTATGGAAAATAATTTTGATAAGTGGAAGGACCCGGAGACCGAAACATGGTACGCAACTTGCAAGTGGTGCAAGAAAGATTTTTGTTTGGGAATTTCACAAGGATACGGGAGCGCGACAAGGCATATTAAGGCCAAACACACCGTGGAGTGGGCGAAATTAGACAAAGGCAAGGGGAAGCAAACTCAAATATCAAGGTTTGCAAATAACCAACCCTTTGGTAATTTCTCATATGATGATTCTAAACATTAGAGTGGTATGACTAACTTAATTGTTGAAGAAAATTTGCCTTATATTTTTTCTGAAAGTGTTTCTTTAAAGAGATTATGTTCAACGTACTTCAAATCCTCAATTAGAGGTTATAATCGCAAAACGATTAAAAAGAAGTTATTAGACTTTATGGTTTAAAAAGGCTCGATTACAAAAAAAAATTCGCAAACTTTGATGGTCGTGTTACTATTTGTAGTGATATATGGGGGGATACTTATCATCATATACATTATTTAGGTGTCAGTGCACATTATATTGATGATGATTGGGAAATGCATAAACGTGTTATTGCTTTTCGTTCATTTAATGATCGACACACTGCTGATAATATTTATATTCTCATTGAGCGTATTTTAATTGAGTATAATTTGATTGATAAGATGTTTGCTATGAGTTTTGATAACGCTTCTAATAATACTGTTGCTATACCTAGATTGCGTGAATTGTGTGGTTCTTCTACTTTGATGGGTAGGTTTTTTCATCAACAATGTGCATGTCATATTCTCAGATAGGGTCATGTGTTTCATTTTTTATCAAAGTGGTTCATGTGTTTGAATTCCGTTATCACAAGAGGGTCACGCCGTTAAAAACGTCTGAAAAAGACCGTTAAAAGTAACTCCAATTTTCAAAAGTGTCCGAAAAATTAAAAGAAAAATACTAGAAGGTGAGCCTCAATAAGACGGCTGCTAGGTCATCTTTCTTTTTTGTTTTAAGCCACCCTTGTCACAGGAATGTCCATTGGAAAAATGATATTAGCGAAACATTTTTAATAAATATTTCAAACAGATCTGAAAAATCTAATGATAAAGGTGGTTTGGAGGTCATCTTGACGAGACGCACCTTTCAGTATTTTTCTTTTAATTTTCCGGGCTCTTTTGAAAATCGGAGTTACTTTTCACGGTCTTTTTCAGACTTTTTTAACGGTGTGACCCTCTTGAGATAACAGAATTCAAACAAATGAACCACTTTGATAAAGAATGAAACACATGCAACCACAAATCTGAAAACGGGCTCAACCACAAATATCTTTTCTGTACTTTTTCCTTTTTATAATGCAACTGAAACTTTTAGTCATGTTTATAAACCTACCTCAAACCAATTTTATCGTGAAGCTGTTAATCTCGCCGGTGCTTTCAATGAATTTTCTAATGCCCCTTACGTTAGTTATTTTTGCTCATTTGTGCAAGAAATGTTTTTAAAATATTATAACCATATTTCGCATATTTATGGTATTGCATTTATTCTTGATCCTCGTTATAGACTTGCTTCTTTATCATAATGTGTAGACTTCTATTATGCTTCTTTTTTTGGTGAACCGGGTATGTATGACGATAACCCCATAGATCCTAAACAAGAATACAACGAGGCTAGTAATTTATTGTATCAATTATTTAATGAGTTTCATGCACAATATGCTGACGCACCCCCTCCCCCGACACGAACATCTTCATCTAAAGGAAAATCATTTTTTAAATCTACATTTGGGAATCTTATTAAAAAAGTAAATCAACTCTTGTTGAACAAAGCTCAGTTAACGAGCTTACTTTATACCTAACATATCCTGTTGATTATGAAGAAAATGAGGACTTTGACGTTCTAAAGTGTTGGAAGGAAAAAGAAAGGACGTTCCCAATTTTATCAAAAGATGGCTAAGCAGGTACTATCAATGTCGGTTTTAACAGTTGCTGTGGAATAAGAATTTAGTGCGGCCGGCAACGTCCTAACTGATTATAGAACGCGATTGAGCGCAAACTCTCTTGAGACGCTTGTTTGCTACCACCTATGAAGCACATATACTTCCCTGGGTAGCGTATCGGCGTATCGGATACGTTCCCGTATCCGATACTCTAGGATACCCGTACCGTATGTTCCCGGGCCGTATCTGTAATTTTTAAAAGTTTCCATCTTTTTTTGTAATTTTTTGAAAGTTTCCGATACTCGTATCCTGACGGATACCCGTATCAACTATAAAAAAATAATCAAAAGTTACTTAATAAAATTCTAAAGAAATGAAAATCTAAAACTACATTTTACTTAGTAATCAAATAATGGGCCTGTATGGTATATCCGAATTAAGTCATCAACTCATACTCCGTATCTAATTTACTGAGCAAGTCCAGAAGCCTATCTCTAAACCCTAATTCAGCAAGCAAGTCCTAGCAACACACCTAATCTTGTAAGCAAGTCCTAGCAACACACCTAATCTTGTAAGCAAGTCCTAGCAAGTTCGACAGTGCAACGAGAAGAGCGACCAAGCATCGCACCTAGCAATCTTTTATTAATTCATTTAGAAGAAACAAACTGCTTCCGAAGCAATCTTTTATTAATACCAATTCATGATTTGGTATTTGTTCATAACAATCTTCGTCTTTTATAACGAGCTTCTAAGCAATATATGAATGACAAAAGTAAAATGTGGGATGTTGGTGGAGATGATTTTGGGAGCATGGAGGATATAAGAGTACTTGAGTTTGCCAACCTCTCCATAGATGAACCAGAATTGGAGACCGTTTTTTTGGAAGATGATATTATCCTTGGAAATTAATACTTCCAGTGAAAATATGTATTAGAAGTTAGAGCTTTTAAAATATTGTTTTCTATCTTCATTATTCTAGAACTTTGGTACTTGCACTTTCAATTTCAAGATTGTAGTTGTTTGACTTATTTCTCATTTTAAATTAATGACTTATCGACTACATTTATATTTCGAGATGCACTAGTGTATATGAGAAATATTATGAATTTATTACCAAGTATCTTGAAAAAGGAAAATGAATGGGTATGTGTGTGTGTGTGTGTGTGTGTGTATCCAAAAAAAATTATTTTTTTTTGTATATTTCATAGGATATTATATGTATATATTTTCAAAAAAAAATCTATTTTTAATATTTATAAATACACCCCTATAACTTTTAATATTTGTAAATACAGCCTCATAACTTTTAATATTTATAAATATGGCCCCATATCCATATCTTACTTTTTTTGGTTTTGCCGTATCCCCGTACCCGTTTCCGCGTTTCCGCGTACTGGTATCGGTGCTACATTGGCTACCACGATTGGTTGAAGGCCGAACGTAGAACTCAAGAACTTTATGGAAACAACAACCGAAGAGGGGGCAGATTCCGATTGATTATAAATTTATAATTTATTAGAAATTAGAAATGTATTTCATGTTTTAATTTATTGTCAATTGTACCTCACATTTCAAATAAATATACTTGAAGTTTTTTTTATATGCAACTTCTAATTAGTGATGAAGTAGATATTAAGTATATAATATATAGATATTAAGTAGATATTAAGGATATAATATATTAATTATAAATATTATAATTATTTATAATTATTTAGGAAACAAGGAAAAAAAATATACAAGGAAACAAATTATTTAAGTAGATACAAAGTATATAATACCCAAATTTTTTTAA